CGCCCCGCGCCAAGGCCGAACGCCGCGCGACACTTTCAGAATCACACGCCGCGCACCGGGACCACAAGTGGCCGGCAATACGGCGGGTGCGTAACTAGAGCGCGAGGCGAGCGGCGGCCGACGCGACGGCTGCATGAAATGACAAAATAAAAATTAAATTAAAAAGAGGAAAATACGTGTGTGCATATTTGTGCGTATTTTGCGAGCGTGGATTCGAACTGAAGCACGTTAATTAGTATGTGATGTGGTCAGCCCCGAGTGCAGCGGCTGCGGCGGATGGGGTGAGCGGGAATGCAGTCTACCCCCCCCCCCTCCAACTCTTTCCAGACTGCGACGCAGACCGGCAGAAGACGATTGCCTTGTCGGACCTATCGAAAACGACTAGCGACGCCATGCTGCACCCCCCCCCCTTCTCCCACTCCTTTCTGCAGACCGTAGGAAGCGGTAGGAAGGCCCTTCGGACGGGCCAGACTAGACAGGGGCGTAGCAGGTTGAACAAACTTAAGTGGAAGACATCGAACAAAATCTTCATTGCAAAACTAGATCGTGGAGATTTTTTTTTATTGACAGTAGGATGCTTGAAACTGAGCTTGAAACGCAGGTTTAGCACTCAACATGTTAGAAATCGGATATTTAAAACTACACGTCACAGCAAACAATGTGCTTAAAATAAATAGTTGTGTCGTCTTCTCTTTTGTGTGGGAGTGCACAGTACCGAGCGAGCTGAGGGCCGAGGGCACCGTGGATATCGCTCCGGGGGGAATCACCGGACGGAATGCCCGCGGAACTTCCCTCCACCTAGTCTGGCGTGGCCGGCGGCGGCTGGGGCGGACATCATGTACACGCCGCGCCCGGGGGCTTCGGGGGGCAGCGCGGGTCACACGGGGTGGAGTTGCCCCCCAGACACCCGCACACAGCATATGGACGGGGGTCGGACAGGTGTTTCCCATATCTCGAGAGTGTCTTCCCAATAATTAGCCAGCCTCCCTTCCTCCCCGCGGCACCTGCGCCGCGATGGTCCCGCTACGACGCACGCTACATGACTGAAACCCGCCTGCCGCCGCCCGGACAGCGCGCGCGCGCCAGAGAAAGAGAGAGAGAGAGAGAGAGAAATCCGTGAGCTAACAGAATTCGAATACAACAACTTTCACTCGAAGAGCAGAGCGGTTGTGAGTAGCACTTAGTTTGATTCCCCGCTGATCAGGGAGCGGGCCCTCGAGCGGGCCGAACAGACGGGAGCGTCCCAAGCGCCGCCGTCCTGGTCCGGCAGGAAGGGCGTATTTCGTCCTGAGACGCCTGAATTCGCGCCATCGCCACTGTCCACTCAGCCCTAGTGGCCCTTACTCGGTCCGCCCCCCACATCTCTACACCGACTCACCACAACATGTTGTCAAGCAATCGTTTACGACCACCAGGAGGAAAAATGTGTTGCTTAATAAAAGAGAGTAGCTTAACTTTTCTTGAAAAACAGAAAACTTTGCGACGGCTTGGATAAAACTTGAGAAAGACTCGGTGGGATTGTAAAATATGGACGACGTAAATCTCAAACCGCCTACCTATTACCATTAAGACAATTGCATACTTGGAGACAAGGTACTAGGAGGGGGCGGGGGACGTGCAAATTTGAATTAGCGAGGGAAATGGCGCTATTGTCGTCTGCTACGCATAACCTAGAAAACTTGAGGAGACCTAACACTTGAGTTTGTTTCATAAGCGCCAGGGTACTTGACAAACACTAATGACTGTACGACATGCAAAAACATATATTGTCCTACAGTTTATATGTCGTGAGAGGGGGAAATTTCAAAATTATTCAAGAAAACTTGAAGTTTACACAAGATAAAGTAGTCAGCAAATTCGCCAATTTCGAGTGGAATTAGGGTGAAACAACGATTGGAGAGTTAACAAAAATGCAGTTGTGTCCAGTTTAAAATATGTTCACACTCTGATTAATAATTTTGAGGCGGAAATAAATTTAACTGAAATGATGGAGACGAGCGAACTTAACTTGAACAATTTCACCCTTTCATGACATGTTACGTAACGTGGAAAAAAATTACTGCACGCACGTACAGACTAGAATATCACCGAAAGGCAATGAACATTGGAAAATAAATTTTCCACAGACAAGGAACTCAAAAATCAGCTGATTGTTATGAGAAACTAACCTGACAACTTTTCAGAGCACTCCTGGTAAGAGGTTGATCCACAAATTGTTTGAGCCTAACACTCGATGCTTTTCTCCGCACTTGAGCATTTTGGCCGATCTGACACAATTTTTCCACCCGAGCACACAACCGCACGGAACCTAAGCACGCCATAGTCCAAACTGATATGCTGAACTGCACTCCGGGGCGCGCATTGCACGTCTGCTGCTACGAGTCCGGCATTTACTGGAGAGAAAATCACCGCCCTCCACGACTCACAAAGGAACGTTGTCTGTGTCGTCTGCTTGGAAAACAAACAGGGCTTTCCCGTCTAGATAGTACGATGCCAAAAGACTCTATAATTTCAACAGAAACGCAGTATTTTATTTTTGGTAAAAATAGCATCAGCACGTAGAAAAGAAAAGGAGGTGATATTTGGATATGGAAAGGTTATTTACTTTCTACCATATCTGTCATTAATACAGACAGTCACAGGTTCTACGTGTACTTTTCCGCTACATTGTTGCTTGCAGGTTGAGTAGCCTGGATAGCATTTAACACGGAAGAAACTTGAAAGAAGAAGAAAGAAACATGTCTGCTTCCAACATGTTACGCCGTATTTCATCCGCTGTAACTAAATTCGAAAATTCTATTGAAAGTTTGCTACAACAGTTCCTACCACCAGGTACTTTTTTGATATTGCCATCTCTATTTCATTTGAGTTCGTGAAGTAGATCTTACAATTTATGTCAAAACACTATTATGTGAGGTTATAGAACCCTCACAGTATTCACAACTTTGATTGCTCTCTTTTTATGTTGTCGTATCATGTGAACTATAATAACCAATTTTTTTACATTTAATTTAGGACCTGGGTTCGCCTTAGCTGGGGTGGAACAACCCTTCACTAAACTACCCGGAATATGTTTCCCAAGTGCGAAAAAAATTTGGGAAGATGCTATCCTTGCTGCAGTACCAAGAAACAGAAGATCCATTGAAAGACGGCTAACAAGACGTTTTGGAAATCCTGATTATCATTATAAAATGATATTTATGAAAAAGAATTTGCAGTCCTGTGCCACATGTGGCAATTTCCATGAACCTGGTCTACTGTGTCGTAAGTTTTCAGACCCAAAACTCCTAGTCACGCTTTTCTAATCTCTTGAAATGGTTGCACTATCAATCATAATTCTTTTGCAGCTCACTGTTACAGCAAGGTTATTCAAGAAACAAAAGAAATCAGTGATAAAATTCAAGAAACTTTGAAATTAGAACCTATTGAAAAAGATGTGATAGTTCTGTATGAAAATGACAAAGTATCTCCAGAATTCTTTGAGGTAAGTCATAATCTTGTAGACCTTGTTCAGGCATGAAACGTTTCTTGAAAGGAGGTTCTTACTTTTTGCTCCTGTGCATTCTAGGGAAAGAGAATTGTTGAGATGGAGAAGCCAAGGCCTCAGTGGTTCTCCAGCAATCTTATGCAGCCCAGCACCCAGGAACCTGATGAGGATGCCAAAGAGGTGAAGCCAAAAGACTTGGCTTAAATATACCTTTATCACCTTTAGAGCTTACAGACTGGTAGTGTATTATGATTATCCCACTGTTATGGTTTAGAATATGAAGTAATTATCACTGTCTTCATATTGGCAAGGAATGTCAATAAATTACTTTCTGCGCCTAATTCAATGTTTTACATTTTATAGAAAAAAATCCTGAATTAATTTTGGTTTCTACATCAAGTAATTTCTGGATATAAAGAATATACAGGATACACAACAAACATCTAATAGTACAGTTGATGAAGTCTAATTAATTCTATTAGAATGAGCAGAGACAAAAGAGATCATTTTGAATAGCAAAATAAATTATTCAGTTTTTCAAATATTCAACGTCAGAACTCCTAAGAGGATAAGAAAACAGTAATGTCAGGGATGGTAACTATCATACCACTTAATAAATTATATTCCACACAACAAAATTAACATATCATACATTTGATAATAAACAATGGATTAATGAAATGTAATCACAGTTGCTGTCTAAATTCTAGAGGAGAGATGCATTCATAAACAAATTTATGAGGCCAACAAAAAGCACCCTGTGCACCAGTTAAACACTTTTCCAAAAGGGAAAAAAAAAATGTGAACATGTGGTGCTGTAAAATATGATAAATTTTTCTAACATCTCAAAGATATAGAGAAGAAAAACAAAGTAAAGATACTCTGGCAATAGGTAATTAATTTTTAAATAACTCAGTTATTAGAGGAAGTAGTATTGAAGGTATCGAGACAGTAAATATTAAAAACTGTTTCGTTCCCCAAATACAATTACCGGTATGATAAGATTTCAGTGGTTAAAGTTATAAAAAGTTCACTCTATACTCAGAATAACATTACAAGAGTAGAAAGCCATGTTTCTCTTCTTCCTCAAAGTGGTTAACAACATGGCGGTGAAATTCCCCAAATGTAACAGAACTTGGATAAAATCTTCCACATATTGGACAGACCCTAGCATTTTGAGCAGGGTGGGAATGGTCAATTTTATTTGAGTCCTCAGGGATCCTCTGTAATTGTTCTTTGATTTCTTCATCAGCAGAGTCTCCTAGTGATTCTGGCTCAGCAATGTTTGCACTTTCAAACCGAGTTGTAGTGGCGGTGCTCATCTTTGTAGCCTCTTCTGAAGCTTTTGTTTGAGCGGTTTGGGCTCGCTCAACACAAGCTTGGCATTTTACACCACCTTAGATGGAAAAAAGATTATAAGTAAATAAAATACTTAATTTTTGACTGAAAGGAATTACACTTACCATCTCTTAACTTCAAGAGATTTGTAACAGCATCTTTCATGGCTTCTTGCTGCTCAATAAGGTCTTGCTGCATTGAAAGCAAAGACATTTGAAGTTGCTGAACTTGCGGAAGCAATAATGGATCTATAAGTTCACCATCTGCACCAGCTGAACCATTACTGCTTGCTATGGAAAAGCCAAGATGGTCTGCACTGAATGAAGGAGACAGTCCGCCTTCACGTAGCTCAGTCATCTAGATGTAAAGGGAGGAGGTGATGAAGTTTTGTGCTGTTTCTTAAAGAAAATACTACTATAAATTTGAAATGTGAATTAGTGGCAAAAAATACCTGAGCACATTGGTCTTCCAATTCACTCTTTTCTTGAAGAAAGCTATTTATTAGCTTCAGAGATATTTCCTCCAAACTGTCAGTTTTAGGATCTGGAAAAAAAATTCAGAGTTTTAAAGGGAGTGTTTAAGGACATGAAAACACATTTCAAACAATTGAATGATAGTACTAACCGAGATCTGAAGAGGTGCTTTCCTTGTTCCTAGGTAGTGGAGTGGGTGCTACACCACTTCTGGATATCTCTCGAGCTGCTGCATTGCTTACAGGATTCGGAGTCACATTAGTTGATGTTGAGTGGCGGTGCAATGTGTCAGATATTTTTGTAAGCTGACTTCCAAGGGACTGGTTTAATTTTGCTGACTGAGACAACCTGGTCCATAGCTGCTTATTCTCACTAGTCACCATTAAAACATGATGTGTCAACTGCTGCTTCTGTCGTTCCAGCTCGGCTATTTTACGTTGTATATTGTCACCCTCTCCATACCCTCTTGAACTGTCAACTAAATCATCATTTCTCTTCTGTAGTCGTAGCTTGGAGTTCTCATCTTCAACTTTAGCCAGACGTTGTTGTAATCTTTGACAACGCTCCTTCATTGTTTGAAATGCAACTTCTAGGGCATAGCGAGAACCAACTATGTCCTGGTTGCTTTGGGCCAGCATGTTTCGTGATTCAGAGTCAGCCATGATTATTGAAATTGTTCACATCAGCAACAACCTCATCCTGCACAGTACAATTATTGCAATTTAGACTTTCATTTGTGACACATAAATGATGTCACTGTTGATAATGATAGGAGGAAGTAACCCACTGGTCCAATAATGTCGGCCAAGGTGCTGTGGACAGTACCTTCTATATTTGAGGGCGCCTTCTTATCAGTAGCCTGTGATGCAGCCGTAACATACCCTGTTTGCCATAAAAGATAACACTGAGCCAGACTGGACGGAAAACTTTAATATCTCAACACGACATGATAATCAACAACAACAGTGAAAAGTAACAACAACAACAAGCTTCACGATCGATACTCGAACTCGAAAGGAAAAACAGCTGATCCTGTCGAGAGATCGATAGGCAGCCTTCCTAGTTCGTACTACTTGCGAGAGATGGCGCCACAGTCAACTCCAGCGGCGAAAGGTGTTAAAGGTCTGGTTTTCTTCAAACCGTCCTTGAAAAGAGCCAGTCGAATGGTCGCTTCACCTAGTACGAAGTTAAAGTAAAGCAGCTTTTGCGAGAGAGGAATAGTAAACGTCTCTCTGGGAAGAGTAGATGAATGAGAAACATTCGCCGTGCGGTCCGGGTGAAGGGGAGAGGGAGGAGAGGGAAGGTGGGGCGCAGGAAACAGCCTGTTGCCTGCAGACTGCGCTGCCTGCCGCTGGCGCTGCGGCTGACAGCCGTCCCGTCCAGTGCTGCGCTCGCTGAACAGCGTTCAGTTTCAGTCCCGGCCCAAAGCTGCCGCCGAGTGGGTGCGCCGCGTCCGTCTGTCCGTCCGCCTGCCGTCGGGCCAAGCCTCAGTGTAGACGTCACACAGTCTGCTTTGTTTTGGTTGGCGTTTCCAGTCCGAACTGTCAAAAGAGACTTCTAGGGGCGCGTGGGCGGGTCCTTGTGTGTGTTGTGTGTGGTTTCGGGAGTGGTGTGCTGGTTTCAGCGGCCTCTGATTGGATTACCTGCTTAAAAGCATCTTCTGCATGAAAGGTGAGTCCTCTTGTGTACTACTGCCTGCTCAGAGCATCTTGATGTTCAGTTGTAGGGGTGTTATGTTTTGCAGAAGTAGTTGTGTGGTCAATTTTAAATGTATTAATCTCATGTTAATCTTTTGGTTGAACTTTTGGTTTTCTTTATGATTGGTTATGTATTTTGCAGTGCAAAATCTTTCGCACACTGGCAATATAGGTGTTTGCTTTATCATCCATATCGCATGCTCGTCGTAAGGTTTGAGAATTTATCAAAGAAACCGTAGTTGAACTGCAAGAGATTGGTAATATTTGCCCTCAGATTGTTTATGGTCAGGGTATTCAGGTTGCAATTTCGAAGCGAATTTAAACCTGCCTAAATTTTACTCTTGGCGTGTTTAAATGATCTACTCATTGTCACCGTTAGTAATTAGATTTCTGCTAACTTTTATGTTGATAATTGTGTAAAGGTCTAAGCTTGCTTAATAATCCAAAACAGTTTGGTTCTTAAATCACTCCATTGTAGATACTAGATACATTATCTGTAATAAAACACTCCTCTCCATACTGCCCCTTTGGATCCCTAAGTACCCCCTTGCTCTCCCTTCCCTTTCCTCCTCTGCGCTGCACCCAACAAACTGCAGGCCCTGCAGGCTGGCCACAGGCTGGATTCAGGCCATGATCGCCATGATCACATTTGTTCCGCACGCGGCGTTGGTCCTGTTGCACCACGCGTAATGGCTTGGTCCCCCCC